CAGTGTGTTTGAGCTATTTTCCAAACACACAAATATTTTCCCACCACAATACCTTTACTTATATCTACTGCTTTCTCCATCCAAATGCTCTCTTCTCCCCATCCTCATTTCGATGGGTTGACATTCAACTTGCTCTTTGAGACTTTAATCAAATGCCTTCTTCTCTAGCTTCCCAGTATAGCAGTGAGCCTTCCTCTTTCTGGCCCAGGTTCATTTGATAGTTTGTTTAATTCCTCTTTCTTCACTTACCCTGCTCTTCATTTCTTATCTCCTCTACTGCATTGTAACTTCCTTGGGGGAGAAGGGAGGGTGGAGAAGGAAGGGGGACGTAACAGGGTGCACAAAAATGTTGTGTGTGGCTTACCAGGCATGAAGTCCTACATAGCTTTAGTTGAAACTTACCAGCACACAGTGTGGCAGGCATTGTGATTAAGCCAGATATTCAAGTCCTTGAATGAAGGAAGAGTATTTGGAAGAAGCATAGGCTTTGGCATGAGCTTGGATTTTGAATCATAACTGCACCACTTACTGTGTGGCTTTGGGCAAGATGCTTAAACTCTCTGAGCTCCAGTTTCTTTATTTGGAAATGAGAGACCTCAGATAAGAATGTGTGTAAAGGGCCTAACACAGTGCTTGACACATCATAGGCCATTAATAAATGCCTGTTGAGTAGTGCAACAGCATGGTCGATCAGCATGCTTATGATCAGTGGTTTATTACGTCAACTCTGGGGAGCATTCTCGCCCACCAACAAATAAAATAAAAGAAAGAACAAAGAAAAAAGAATGCACAAAGAAAAAGAGAACAGTGAAGAGACACAACAGAGAGGGACTACCTAATCAATGCAAGCGCATTTATCTGCGTGATCCTCAACAAGTGGCTGCTGAGGCCTCAGTCTTCTCATTGGTAAATTGAGCGGTGGGCACTGGAATCTAAGCTCCCCTTCAGTTCTGACATTCCAAGAGCATTAAAGGAAAAGGATGAATCACCCCCTTCAAAATACCAATATGGGCTGGGCCCTCCCCTGCTGTCCCCGTCCAGCACAGCTAAGAGCTCTTAATACGCAGCCAGCTTTCTCCTGCAGCTGCCACCAAATTTCAACCCCCTTTCCCAGGAGTCTCAGAAGCAAGACTGATAATGGACCCCTGGCCTTCTCCATCTCAACAGGGAACCAGATCCCCTTCCCAGAGGGCTAGCCTTCTGCGGGCATTTGGCCTCAGTTTGCTTGTGTGTGGAGTGTGTGTGTGTGTGTGGGGGGGTGTGGCGTGGGGGTGCATTATGGAAAGGATGAAAGGAAGGAATAAAGGGAAGAGTTGCAAACGGAGGGTTGATGAATGAATTCTTGCTGTCATGGGGGGCTGGGGGGATGGGGTGGTGGAAACCTTGCCATGGTCTTCCAGGATTTGAAAAAGTTCATGTGTACCTATCTGTAATAGTTATTAATCTCCATTCTGGGAGGCATGGTCCCCCAGCAGTTGCATAAATTTATAGACACAGGCTGTCAAAGCCGCAGAAGACACCTAGATCAATTTTCCTCCTTACAGGAAATAGGCACTAGGTGACCGCAGAAGACAGTTTTCTAGCCTCTCTGCCCAGAGCTCTCTCCTCCTTCCCGCGTTGATGCTATTATTAGTATTATCACCATTAGTAATAATGGAGACGTCACTGGCCATGCCTAAGCCACAATGTTCCAGGACCAGCACCTCCTTCGTTCTCTTCTGAGATTGCCTGGATCCTGTTGGGTCCTCCCTCCGCGCCCGGAGCCGCTTCGGGCCTGCGCCCCAAAGGGATCTGTCTGTCCGGCGGTCTGTCCATTGCCCGTCACGTCTGCAGCCTGGGTCCTCCCAGCTCACACGGCTCCCGCTCTGAAAGCCGAGAAGCTCGCCGGCTGCGAGCGGGTTTTCCAAGTGGGAAGGGGTGGGGAGGAGGGGCGCGGGCGGAGGGGAAGACCTCGCATTGTAATCCAATGACATTGCCAACGTGGGGGTGGGGGCGCTGGCCTCGGCGCGCTCTCCGAGTTTTGGCTGCCAGCCCAGCTGGGAATAACTCTCTTCGCATAATTCGCGTGTTTACCAGGCATGAAAATTCTTGCTTTCGGCTGCCCCCCACCCCAGAAGCCCCCTCCCCTG